GCTACAAGACCTCGTGAAAGGAGGTATTTGAAAAATATGACAGCTTAGTCAAATCTCAATAGAAACTCAAGTGTTTGTAGGGTGTTTATTAAAGCACTTTGTAATGTATCCAGTGAAAAGAATCATTGCAATCGCAAGAAGTATCCGAAATAGTTTTCGTGTGAGTAAATGCGTAGAAGAAATATGCCGAATTGAAAGACTTAGTTCGCTAAAAAAATGTATAGATCAGTTCTTCAATATATTAACATTGTCATTAAAATTTTAAAATAGCTAAGATCTCATATGAACTATTTTTTTAGCTAGTAGGTCTGTAAATTCCAAATATTTTCTCTAGTGTTCTGCTCATCTCAGAAATAAAGGGAACAGTAACTCAAAACTAAATAAAAGACGAATATGAAACTATTCATTTCTTTATTTATCAGCTTTCAATAGTACTTGTGTCATCAAGTTAAGAATAAAAAGATCTTAAACCGAAGATATAAATATATCTATAGACCAGAACGGGTTCATAATGTAATACTTTATTAGTCTCGTTCATTGACATTTTTAAGATTCAGCAAATGAATTATTGAACTTTGAACCTTTTCGATCTATCTATTTATCTATTCATCTGTCTATCTTTCTATCTATCTATCTATCTACCTAGTTATCTACTTTCTATCTACCTAACCATATATATAAATATATATATATGCTCCATTGCAAAATCTTTTTTATTGCTAAGCTGATCATAACACGGGTACTATCAGAAACTAGGAAAAAGGAAAAAACCAGATATTCGTCTTTTGCTTAATTTTTGTCTTATTAAAAATTCTTTCTATGTCTGACGTAAGCTTCATCACTCAGGCGGGAAAGTTTGCCAGCAAAAGTATTATAACTACTATAAAAATTTCTATCTAATAGCTGGGTGCTGTCTTCAAGAAAATTATGATATGTAAATGTTTGATGCGTTTTGGTGCCATTTGCCAGTCAGAGAAAGCATCATAGTAAGGTGTTTTAACGAGTAAAAATATTCACTGTTTACAGTGAAAAGATAATGTTGTTGTAAAAATCAAGTTTCCTAATTGCATTGGCTTGAAGCTCGCTATTTTGCTTAAAAACATTTTTTTTTTCGAAAAAATGAAAACCTAATATCCTCACGCGTAACAATCCTTTTTTCTATTGATCTTATCTAACTGGGATAGTTTGCTTAATTACAGTCAAAATTTCAATGATATGACTAAAATTGAACACTTACCTACGAAATGGACGAAATAAGTAACAATAATAATGCACGAATAGAAAGCCACACTAATAGGAACAGATTATCGACGATATGATGAATTTACGAAAATGATAAAATTCGATATGCTTAAATATATCTTTGAATGAGATTTCTAAAGACTATTCTGTTGTTTTTTCTATTTATCGCTCTGAAGTTCATTTAGAATTTGATTCAATTGTTTCTGAGAAAAATGGAAAATCTCATTATAGATGGCGCCACATTTTTTATTTTACTCTAATGTTCAGAAAACACTAAATTAAATGCAGAACAAAATTCAGATCATTAAATAGTTCAATAGAAGAATTTTCTAGCGAAATTTCAATCAAATCGAATTGATGTATATGTTAAAGTGCATTTTTCGTTCAAATTAACATTTTAGGAGTTCGGAAAAAAATGAACAATATATTTCAATATATGCATAAACAGGTGGATTATTTAAGTCACCTTTTGTCTAATTAAAATATTTTCTTATAGTGACGATGAGATAATATTAAAACGATTCAAAATGAGAATTTTTAATACCTAATATTATTCTATAAACAAACTACAGCAAAGCTTCAATACACTGTTAACGGAGATCAGACAAGTCAAGCTCAAAAAAATTGATTTTTTATTTCAATGTATTTAAAGTAATTTTTTTTTCGTCTATTGTTTAAACGAAAAATATCATGTTTAAATAGGTTCTAAAATTTTCCTATACTCATGGCAAAGAATTACTTGCATATGATTAGTTAAAACTGTCAGCTAATGCGAAATTGTAGATTCAACTACAAAAAAAAATGAAATAGAGAAAAACAACTAAATTTTCTCGGGTATGATGTATAATAAAATCTTGTCTAGTCAGACTACAACCGGCAGATACAGTAAGAAGTACAAAGACTTCTTTATCATTTCGATAAATAAAAAGGCTATGTAGCCAAGAAAACAAACACATATTTATCTCTAAATCGATCTTATTCGGTCAGTATGATTTATTCTCCTAAAGATCACATAAATGTAATTTAAGTTTTGCTGTATTAATCCTAGAATTTTTTTCTTTTAATAATATAAATAAATTAATAAATTAATAAATGTATGCAATTCTAGATCTATTCTTCATCATTTCTCAATCATATAATTTTATATACTTGTCGACATTTATCAATGCCTAAAAGAAAAAAAAACAAGTCAAATGGTTCTAAAAAGGCTCCACCGTCAAATTCGTCATCAACAAATGTTGAACATAATACAAATACATATGATATAACAAATGTGTCTGTACATTCCAACGATGAAGATTTCCTTGATAACATAGAAGAAACAATGAACAAAAGAAGAAAACACGTGAAAAATTTCTATAATGATTCAGCAAATGTACCAGGTTAGTTTCAATATTCTCAATAACTTGGAAAACATTTATCGAAAAATATATGGAGGAACTTCGATTTTTTTTAAGGTTCATTTGATAGTGACGGTAATATGTTAGCCGATTGTGTTGAAGTTCCAATTAGTTTGCCAAAGAAAACAAAATCATCAATCAAGACAAATCAATTGCAAGTTGGTCAATCAAATTCGACTGTTATCAATGATTTTTCATCAACACTTCGTACAACAACAACTTCAAGTCATTTGGACGTAGTTTCATCATCTAATAATAATATAAAATTAAATCGTGGTGCTAATAAATCATTATCAACACGTGAAAATTATCCATCTGATAAACATTCATTTGATACAAGTTCTAACTCACTTGTTGTTGATAATGAACATGATCGTTCATCAAATATTCGTTTATTATCGACACAAGAATCATTTGATTCTCGTGAAGATACAGCACCAACGTGAGTCGTATATTATATATCAATATATAATGAAAGATCATTTGTGCAAATATTTTTTTAGAACAATGAAGCATGCTACTCCTCGTGTAGCAAATGCTGCTATGAATCATCAGCCGTCCTATTCGAGGTAATTCACTTATCCTAATTTTCACTATGGTGTTCTCAATTGTTTCTCATCATTTATATCAGCAGAAATGCAACTAGTTTATTTTTACACTAATTGTGTGCATACCTTCTGTTAAGAATGATAATTACATGCATTTTCCAATCAACTCATTGATATGCAGACGTATTATAAGCAAATAATAAATATTCGATTGCTTCATAAGTTATTCTTTTAGTCAGAGAAAGATATCTATACTCAACTAAGAAAGAGAAAGTTTTATCCATAGTTGACTCGCATTTAATTAGTAAATTATATGTGTAAAACTATAAAAGTTGCAATCGAAAATAAGATAGAGACGGTGGTATGTAACATCATCTTTATATAAGAGCGCATACTATTTTCAATGTTAATACATCATTATAAATAAAAAAAATATTATTTCAAAAAAGGAATGAAATAAAAATATTCGAAATTCTTTATCTCTTTATAGTGATAACGTATCATCGGAAGCCAACGTTAACAAGAAAAAAACACAGTATATTTCGAAAAGGTAAAGCCACAATAAAATTCTTTGGTGTACTTGTCAAGTTTGAAGTGAATGTTTGTTTCAGTAGTATTACAATTAGTACACCGGTTCCCGGTGACAACCATATTCGTGATAATTTTAGTCAAAATAAAAAGAGGTTTAAAATTTCTTTACCTTAATTGTTTACATCATTGATAATTTTTTTACATTTTTTTAGTTTTGATGTTAATCGTTCAATTATTCGGTTACCTGATAGAAACAGTCAAACTCGTGAGAATCGACCGTCGACAAGTACACCTGTTCAACTACGCGCAATCGATGTTCAATGTTCAATTGAATATCGCGAATTAGAAAAAAAAAACAAAGAATTGAAAACTCAAGTTGCTAATTTAAAAGTTGCTTTAAAAATATTGGGAAGACAGCTTAACAAAATGAAAACAACCCATATGTGTAAATAACTGATCGTATTTGATGAATTTGAGTAATCACTTTTCTAACATGTTGTTTCTCAGAAAAAAATTGATATTATCATTTTTACATTTCGTATTATATGATTGTCACTCATTGAAGTGATACAATAGAAACTTTCAATCTTTTCGATTGACCATTAGATAGGATTACATTATATGTTCCTGGCGTTTGTTATTAACGAGTTTTTTTTATTGAAATATTATTTTTCTGGTACTTCATTTCGCAGTACTTATAACGAATTATTAGAAAATATAGAAAATCTATTATTTAATTCTTTTCGTCAACTCTTTTAATAGTATCTAATTTGCTTCTACTCATCTTTACAGTGAAACCTCGTCCCGCATTTTGGAATGAATTAACCGTATTTATGGACTCATATAGTGAATTATTTAAAGGTGATGGTCGAACAATTGCAGAAATAGGTGCTGAACTCGGTTTAAATCAAGCAATGATCCAACATGTACAACAAGATGCCGAGAAACCAGATAAAGTAGCCATGAACATCTGGCGAACGTTATGTCCTACACAAGCTGATCGAGTTTACGTTGAATCAATCAAATGTGTACCAGCAACAACTCTTCAAAATATTTATAGTAAGTGTGTTAGTTTCACAAGCATGTCAAATAAAGTTTCATGCATTTTTTTCTCTTCTGGTTATGAGCATTTTACCAGTGCGTCGTTCCAAATAATTCTTTTTTAGTGCTGAACCATTTGTAAGGTCGACGGATATTACGCAAGGGGGAACATTGTGCTTTTGTACTTCACGTACTTTAAAGTACTTCATTCAAGGAGAAAACACAAGTGAGAAACATCGTACTTTTCTACTTTAAAGTACCGTGAAGCACTTTATTGTACTTTAATGTACTTCATGTACTTTATATACTTTAAAGTACCAAAGTACGATGTTTCCTCCTTGGTATTAGGGCATCTGAAATCGTTCTTCACGAAAATGCACTTTCAGAACCTTAATTACAAAGTCTTTTTCTTTCGATTTATAGGATGAAACAGAGTTTGACATAAAAATGCGAAATCATTCAAGTTTGTGATAGGAAGCCATTGAAGACTACAGCAAAGTCTTATAGGTTTCGTGTTATACTCTGAAAGATTCATACTGGATTTGAATGATATTATGCTTTTTATATCAAACTCTTTTCGTTCTGCAGATCTCAGAAAAGCTTTGTAACGAAAGTGCTGCGGATGTATTCGCACGAAGAGCCCTTTTAAGTTATGAAGTCTTCACTGAATTGGCAAAGGTTTCCTAAAAGATAATCTTTTAGACTGCATTATAGTAAAGTATCAAGACTTGCCTAACTATTAATATTATTACCAGAAACTAAAAAACAATTTCATTATTTTTTCATTTCAGCATTTGCTCGTTTATGCTATCCTAGAGCTAATCTGAATTACAAGAAGATGAAAAATGATATTGCAACTAATATAAGACAAAGTCTTTTTTTTTCCAAACGAGAACAAAACATGTCGACTGATTTTAGTCAACTACAACAAAACGATGGAAGTGATGATGATGATGAGAATGATATGATCGAATCTCAAGAAATATCATTTAATTTACAATCGTTTTTACAGAAAGAAAACTTAATCGATGACATCGGCGATGAAGAAGAATAAATAGCTGTGTGGTTTAATTATAAGGACAATACTACTATAGTGCTGTCAATTTAAAGTAGAACTTGAATTTTGATTATTTTTCTAAAACTTTTGTAAATGTTGT